AAAAACTAACAGAATTTTCAGACAGTTTACAAACGTTTTTAACAATTAATGACATTTTTAGACAATTTACAACATTTTCAGACAATTCACAACATTTTATACAATTGACAACATTTCCAAACAATTTACAATATTTCCAAACAATTACAAAATTTCCAAACAATTTACAACATTTCCAAACAATATACATTTCAGAAAATCTACAATATTTTCAGACAACATTGTAAGACAATTTGACATTTCAGACAATCTGCAACATTTTCAGATAACTCACAACATTTTTAAACAATTTGCAACATTTTCAAACAATCTATAACATTTTCAAACGATAAATCCACAATTTTTCAATCATTTGTTTAATTTCAAATTCAAATCCTAACGGTTTTTAAAGTTGACAGCTCCAATTCCATCATGGCAACCCTAAACATTTTGTTTGTACACGTTTTTCATAACAAGCAAAGATACAGTTGAATTTAATGCCACATATTTTTCGTAGGTAATATTGAAACTTATTTTTAAATAAAATATTTAGTTCAAAATGTATAATTATCATTATCCTTGGTTCTGGAACCAGTTTCCTCAATGGTGAGATAATTTATACATAAATAAATAATATAATTTGTACTTAATTATAAATCAAACTGTCAAACACAACTAACAAGGAGAAGTAAAATTGTATAAATTTGAAGTAAAATAAAATTTTCAGATACTAGCAGTATAGTATGTGTGTTATTATAATATGTATATAACTAAAATCAGTTCAGCATTTGTATTTTGATATAAACTAGTGTGTAGCAGAAACTTTTCAATTAAGTACAATGACATAACCTATAAAAATTATCACAACTCATATTTTGCAACAAGACATGAATATATCTTATTATCTATAATAATAGTTTATTACCTATTATAAATACTTTATTGTCTATAATAAATAATTTTAATATTAATCTATCTTTTTATATCTAGGGAATCCGCCCCAGACAAAACAGGCAGATTTGGTATCGGAACAGGCTTCTTGCCACAAAATAATCCTGTGACACAACCCGTGGCTGTAAATCATCCTGTAGTGGCACCCCAAATTTATCATCCTGGAGTTACGGCACCAATGATTCCTCCTGTGGTGACTCCACCAGAAATTTCTGTTAATTCGTTATGTGCAACTGCTTCGAAGCTCTTGGAGAAAGCTGAGGAATTGAATACGAACAGGGTGTCAACGTTACAGGAAATGTAAGTT